CCATCCATTAGAATGGGCATCTCCTGTTTCTTATCCCACCCACACCAGCCTTTTGGTTGGAACTGCTTTTATGCTAGTTCAAAAAAAAAAAACAAAACAAAACAAAACTTCAAGAGTGAGGAAAAAGTCTTTGTCCAAGGGCCCGGGGTGGGGACTTGTCTCTATTGACTGCAGCAGCTCGACATAAAGCCAGGCTCCTGCAGCTACATGCCTACAGAGCAATTCAAAGCAGGGAAGTAGTGATCAGAGACACAACAGTTCCAAGCTACAGGCACCACAGGGCCCCAGATATAAAGAAAATAGACAGCTGGAAACAGCGTGCTCCGTGGGCATGATAACAATTGGTCAGATTGCTGTGTGGTATTCGTACCTGTCTCTTTGGTTTTGGCCAGACTCCCTGGCTGCTGGCACTGCTGCTTGGGAGAGACTGGGGTGACTGTGATTATATTTCCTCCCAGGAGATGTCAGGCCCTCATAGGAACAGTAGACAATTTTTGTGGCAGCAGGAGGAGCTGCAAATTCAGTTCTCTGGGGTTTCCACTACAAGACTTTCTATCTCAACTCTGTCTCTTGTTCCTGAGATGCCTATATGCAATTTTTGCCCTTGCTGTTGCAAAACCTTGACCCAGATCATATCCTTTCAGTTCTCATAACTCATATCAGAGAACAGCAAGCTGCAAGCCATGTTTATTCCCTGTGCTAACTCCTCTCAGCCCAGCTGAGTTACATGGGGATGGATTTGCCCACCTCTTTCCCTCCTTTAGGTAGGGCAGAGCAGAAGCAATGTTGTAAACATTCCAGGGGATAGGTTATCTCCAGAAAGGTTTTCCAAGTTACTTTGTAGGAGAGAAGATAAAAGCTGTAATGTTGCCCTTCATTCCCCATGATGGATGTGTTGCTCAGTCTCTGTGTTGGATGTCTCCGACCAAAACCTTTCATTACAGCCGTGGAAATAAAATACTTCTAACCTCCCCCTCCCCTTCCATCTCTGGTTGCTGGAACTAGAAGTGCCAAGATATGAAGAGTCCGTTGTCAAGATATTTCTACCAGAGATGATGTAAAAGCCCATTTTTCTGTGGCTATCAGCATCAATTTTTAGGCTGGGAAGGTTCAGATGATATGTGGAGACCTGCAGAGCTGTGTCTTTGAATACAATCAGCACTCAGAGTCATCTCCAGTAATGCTTTTAGAGGCATATCCAGTAGTTTTGGCCACTTACCAAGCCAACCTTAAACCAAATACGTTGCTGGAGAAAAGTTTCCTGGTCTTTGGTTCAAAATGACATTTAAAACTTGACAATTTCCTTCCAGCTGGGGGAATCAAGAAGTTATTTAGAAGTATGAACCATTTCAGGGTTTCAAAGCAACTCCCTGAAATCCCCCATTCCACCACCAGCTCCGTCTGACCACGGAGCTGTAGGTGATTTCCCCAGCAGGAACTGGAGTGGTGTAACTTTGCTGGAAGTTGAACCTCTCTCCACTGTGACCTTATTTGCCACCAGTTATTTGTGGGCATGCCATTCCAGGTAAGCTGGGGATTATCTGACACACCCCTTTAAATAGGAGCGTAGAAAAGCTACTGGTGAAAGATGCCAGGAGAGACATAAAGTGAAAAAGTACTTTGTAATCAAGGTCAAACACTAGGAGTGAGCTGGAGCCAAATAGGAGCTCAGATTTCATGTGGCTACTCGCTCTTTCATCTTCATTTCTTCACTTTGCTGTTTATCCTGATTGCCTCCAGTTACTTAATAGGCTTTTGGATATCCTTGAAAACAAATGGTCTGGTAATGATGGCAATGATAATTATTCTTCCTTTCGGTTGGCTTGTATTCAGTTTTTCTCAACTCAGGCACAGCTTCCTGTCACAGCCCAAAGAACAATTTCCAGTTAAACATGGTAGAGTGCAGCTTTGTCAGATCAGCTGTCCTGAACCCGCAGAGGTCAGTCATGTCCCTCAGACTGCTAAACCACAGTCCTGTGAGGGGCGTGGGGTCACCTGTGTGCATGTACAAGGCTGTGCAGTGTGCTCAGGACAGATGGATGGGACTTGCTGCCCCAAGCACTCATTTTTCGGGACGTCAATAGGTGGAGCTGAAGGAACAACGCAGAGCACACGAGTGAACATATATATGGGTTTGTTTGCTTTTTTTTTTTTTTTGTGGTGTGCTAGGAAGGGATTGAGCTTGTGAAATGACAGAAGTGTAGCTGTGCAGTGAAGGGAAGGCAGGAGGGAGACCAGACTGCTGTGGAGAATGATGGAAGAGTGATGGAAAAGGAATGGAGAGCATAGAATTGTACATCTGGAACAAAATACCTTTTCAATCTATATAGGCCTCTCCAGAGTATACTCTGCATTTGCTTCAACTTCCACACATACAGCATGAGAACAGCCTTTGCTATTCTTGGTAAATATCCCACAGAATGAATTCTAGCATATGATTTTGCGTATCCAGCTTAGATTGGACAATCAATCTAGTCGTTTGTGTGTCAGAGATGTCCACCTTGAGATGATCTAGAGTTCAGTTAAGGCATGTCAGGTACACTGAAATTGTCCCTCTGTCTAAATAAATCACTTTGTGAAAGAATCCTTAGTATTCCATGTAAATAAGGATTCTCATGTCATGGTTTGCTTAGTCTGCTAATCAAAACATGTAGCTCTGAGCACTTCCCATTTAGTGCAGCTTATGAAAATCAAGCATCATTATTGCTGTCTGATACATTATCACCAGCAGCCATATAATGGGCAAAATGTTCCTGGGTTGGAACGAGTGCAATTTATGATTCTAAATTATTATGTGTAAAGAAAGAAGAGTGCAGCTGGATATTCATTAGACACATTCAATGTAATGTATTGAAAACAGTAAAGAATATGTTTTAATTAATAAGCCAAGTGCACATGGCATGGAATCTGTAAAGAAGGCCCACAGAGCTCTGCAGTGCTCCTGTATTTGCTGGGAAGTGTAATGGCAAAGCTGCTCCTCTCTCTAGAGTGAGGTAACCTGTGTTCACCTGCTGACCATAGTTCACCTGCTTTGGTTGTTCCTACTTTGTTGCCACAGTTAGAGGATTTTGCCCTTCAGGACCCTCAGTGATACAAAAGGCACTGGATGTTTTTATGCACCTCACTGTTTGGATTTTCAATCTGCAAATCAGTTTCAGGAGGAAGATAGCTAACATATTCCAAAAATCAGGACCTTTGGTCGAATTACCTTCAGAAAGGGCAGTTAAGAATGGTTGAAAAGACATTAAAAACACTGCAAATGTTGCCTCTGTGTTGCAGAGTTGGAAGGAAAAAATAGGAAAAAGCAGCACATCTTCAACAACTGTAAAGTTCACGTCCCTAGATGACCTTCAAAATCAAAACCGCATGACTGACATTTCCCCTAAGAGTTTGAAAATGTGCTGAAGATATCGGCTAAAGGATCTGTTTCTTGTGAGGTGTTCTTATGAAGAACCAAAATAGAAATGCAGTAGCATGAACAATTATTGAAGTTACTCTTGGGACTGGAACTTTTATTCCAGCTCAAAAATCTCGCTGAAGAAATTTTTGGCACCTGGCATTAACTGTGTTTGTTAGAAGCCAGAGAGTGAATCACCTTGGAAAATCTGAACAAAATTTCCTTGGCTGCCATCATGCAAAGGCAGATGATGTGTATTTCCAAAATATGAGAAATTTTTAATGTGATTTTTAGTTAATATCAACTAGCTCAAAGTAAGACAGTATTTGGAGTTTGTAATTTAAGTAGAACCTTCTTGACTGTTATTGACTTGATAATTTGTTATTTGACAGAAATGGAGGGGCATGGGTTACAGTGTTATACTATTTATATTCACTTGGAGTATTTATATAACACTTGGAGTACCTTCATTAGGCATTGATTTTCCTAAAAAAACCTCAGAAATCAGGTGTAACCATTACTATCCACAAACTGGGATCTTGCACTGCCAGGGCTCACTAAGTGGGGTCATTTGGAGTCCCTTAGGGACTGACTGTACAAGGTGAAGCCATTTCTCGTGAAAGACTGTGGATTAGACTGTTCATGGAATCTGAGCTGAAGGGAATAGACTCAATGCCCATGCCCTGTTTAACCTTTTAGAGATTAAACCGTGTCAAGAGAAGCTCAGCATGACCCATTAATGTGCACTTGAGCCACTTCCAAGGTGCTCCAGGAGAGCTGTAGTGGGACTTTGGGCTTTGGCTTGGAAGGACGGGACAAGAGGGAATGGTTTCCCACTGTCAGAGGGCAGAGTTAGATCAGGTGTTGGGAAGGAATTCTTGACTGTGAGTGTGGTGAGGCCCTGGCACAGGTTGCCCAGAGAAGCTGTGGCTGCTCCATCCCTGGACGTGTCCAAGGCCAGGTTGGACAGGGCTTGGAGCAACCTGGGCTAGTGGAAAGTGTCCCTGCCCATGGCAGAGGGGTGGAACTAGATGGTCTTTAAGCGCTTTTCCAACCCAAACTATTCTGTGAGGAGAGAGAGTCCCAACCAGAAGCTCTGCTGGCACAGGCAGTGGGTATGCACAACCCTCCCTTCCCCAAGTACCAATCTTAGTGAGGAAGTGGTGCCTTTTTACTTACAGTGTAGCTCTTGTGCCACCCCATCTTCACATATAACCTGTAATGAACTAAATAGATTTTCATTTGGAGAAGCAGTTGCTCCAGAAAGCGATCCTTGGGGGTGTCTGAACTACAGAGTGTACTGAGTGCCTTACTATAGCCTGGATGTGTTCATAGTGCTGCAAAGATCTTCCACCTGGTGCATTGTCTGCCCTCCAATACAGCTGCATGGTTGGTTGTGCTTCCCCTGTGCAGTTGAGCAACTACTTCGAAAGGCAGCTGGGAAGAAAGTGCCTTCTCTGGATATTAACGAGAGTTTCTGGCCTGAATGAAAGAGCCTGGCCTCGTAAAGAGGTGAACAGCATACCCAGATGAGAGACTTTCATGGTCTTTCATGATGCTTTCAAGAGCACCCCACACACACACTCGGGGAGCCCGAACTCACCAGGGGAATGTAGAGTGATTGTCTCCTCTTGCAGAGTCGAGCCTGTCTACTCCAGCCTGCAGCGTGTTGGGAAGCGGGAATGGCTCCTGGTCACGTCTTCCTAAATAAAAGAGGTAGATACAAGAATCTGTTTCAGACTGGAGAGGCGCAGAGCAAGAGTGACCATAGAATCATGGAGGGTTTGGGTTGGAAGGGGTCTTTAAAGATCATTCAGCTCCAACTGCCCTGTCAGTTTTGGGCAGGGACACCTTCCACTAGACCAGTTTGCTCCAGGCCTTTGGCCTCCAGTCCAAACTGGCCTTGAACACTTCCAGGGATGGGGCAGCCAGAGCTTCTCTGGGCAACCTGTACTGTGGCCTCACCAACCTCAGAGTAAAGAATTTCTTCCCAATATCCCATCTAACCCTGCCCTCTGCCAGTGGGAAGCCATTACCTCCAGGCCCTTGTAAATAGTCTCTTTCCATCTTCCTTCTAACTTCCTTCAGGTACTGGTAGGCCACAATTAGGTCACCCTGAAGTATTTTCTTTTCTGGCCTGAACACCCCCACTTTTCTCAGTCTTTCCTTGTAGGAGAGGTGCTCCATCCCTATAATTACCCTGGTGTCCCTGCTCTGGACTCACTCCAGCAATTCCATGTCCTTCCTGTGCTGGGCCCCCAGGGCTGGAGGCAGCTCTGCAAGAGGGTCTCAGCTGATGGGGCAGAGGGGCAGGATCCCCCCTTCCCCTGCTGCCCATGCTGTAGGATCAGCCCAGGGCATGTGGTCCTTCTCCCCAGGGCTGCTCCATCTATTCATCCCCATCCTGGATTGATCCTGGGGGTTGTCCTGACCCAGGTGCAGCACCAGCACTTGGTCTTGTTAAACTGTGTGAGATTCCCGTGGGCTTGTCCAGGCCCCTCTGGATGGCCCTGTCCTTCAGGGGCGTCACCTTCACCCTCATCTTGGTGTCACCTGCTGAAAGTGCCCTTAGTCCCTCTGTTTATGTCATTAATGAAGATATTAAAGGACACTGGTCCCAATAGGGACTGCTGGTCACTGATGTCCATCAGGGCTCTGAGTCACTGACCACAACCCTCTGGATGTGACCATCCAACCCCTTTCTTACCCATCTAACAGTTCACCCATTGAATGCATCTCAATTTAGAGAGAAGGATGTTGTGGGGGACAGTGTCAAAGGCTTTACAGAAAATCAGTAAACAAAAGGTGAATGTATATACAGGGTAACATACAACAACTTTTCTGGGTGTAAAAGAGCTTAGAGTAGTCCCAAGGGTCCATGGTGTTAAGGACTGACTTGCAGGAACCACAGTGATGGTGTGGCAGGTCCCACCCCAAGTGGTGAGCAGAAAGTAGGTCCTTTCTGCTGGGATTTTAAAAGATCTTTCAGTGTGAACACTAAGACAGAGACCTTGATGACTCTCCTTGCGTACAAGATGCCCCGACTGCACTCAGAGGAGCTCTGAATTGTTGCTGACCCACACGCTCACTACATTTCAACACAACAAAACAGAGACATGCTGGTGTAAGGAGTTTGCTTGCACACATGGTGTAGAAGAGCCACCAGCCCAAAAAAGTTTTGTTTTGCTATCAATAGCTAATGATTACTGGAAACTACAGTGTTAATGGGAAAAGTGTCATCTTTGCTAATATCTTCAACCAAACATGTTAGTGAGAACAAGCTGTTCCATGAGCAGCCAAATAATGAAACCATGTTTATTGTAGATGTGTATCTTAGTCTTGAGCTTTCTGGTTAAACAAGGGTGCCAGCTTAAGATTTTCCCGTAGTTGTGATATGAATAATGTCTCTGCCCAGCACAGATTCTCCTCTCTCTGATAAAGGGTAACTGGAGCCTCCCTTACTCTGTCTGGTGCAACTAATCAAGTCCCTGTCTTCCCCCAGGCTGTAAATTTTCATGAAACATGTACGATTCTAACAAATTTTGTTGAAACAGGTTCAAAAGTTCTCAGGGGGACACAAAGAGATGAGACGATACACACATAGCTTGGATCATGTAAGTCCTTGTTTTCTTTGGAATCCAGGATAGAAACATTCTCCACAGGCAGCTTTTAATGCAGAAAATGGCTATTTATGGAAATCTTTACACTCTTTTCTATCTTATAAAGGGATATGATACTAAGGGATGCAGCTTGGCTTCTCTCTTCTGTATGATTTATGACCTGTAGGGGAAGGAGTGTTTAATTTTTTTTTCAGCAATTGTCTTCTTTTACAAGTTTTCTAAATTCTTGTTGTGCATCCTTTTGATGAACACAACCTTGGCAAAAGGCTTTTACATTTTCAGTTCTAGTATTTCACTGTTTGTTCTTGCTGAGACTTTTAGTGAACAATCTTTGAGTTGTTTCACAGAGAGTGTGTGAATCAATTCAAGTGCCAGTATTTAAATCTTAAGATAGGTTTTCTGAAGACCAAAGTTTAAGCACTGATGTTATATAAACAGTTAACAAAAGTTCCTCTTTCAGTTACTCTATTTTTTCTTATCTTGCTCTCCTACACTTTAATAGACTGTCTGTCATCAGACAGTTATTCAGACTAGACATAATAAAAGTAGAAAATAGAAAATAAGTTCTTCAAAAAAACTCCACCAGCTTTCTTTATATAAGAAAGAAATATCAGTGATGCTTTTGCTTTTTTCCCCTCACATGTCCTCTTTCTTACTGGGAGGAGTGGTGGAAGACTTTGGATGCTCCATCCCTGGAAGTGTTCAAGGCCAGATTGGATGGGGCTTGGAGCAACCTGGAATAGTGGAAGGTGTCCCTGCCCGTGGCAGGGGGCTGGAACAAGATGAGCTCTAAGGTCCCTTCCAACACAAACCATTCTATGATTCTATAATAAAGCTTTGAATAGATCATCCCAGGACAATGTCTAGTCAAAGCCTAGCGAGATTTATTTTTCCCTTCTTGTCTGGTCTTTGCTAGTTCAAGACCAGGAAGTGATGGGTAACATTAGTGTGTGATTTTAAACAGGTCATTCTTCCTAGGAGCTGGACCTTAAAGATCCATGTGTCCCAGGTGCATTGCAAAACCCAACTCTACTCCCTATTATTTCCGCTCTTTTGATTTTCACAGGGCCTTTATTTAGCCAGTTCTTGTTGTGGCCAGTACCAGTGACAAGGGAAATATTTATAGTGTTGAAATCAAAGGAGCCAGCACAGGGCAGTGCTAACAGCACTCCATCATTTTCTTTTTTTCAAGGGAGGATGTAGCTGCAGCCTTAAAGATCACTCGTCACGATAGGAATATTTATCTCTTGGAAAACCTTTGTGTTACCACTGCAGTGCAGTGAAACAAGCATTGCTTTTTTTGCATGGCTCATGTTTCGCTATCCAAAGAGATACTTTGATTCCAGCGAACTTCCTTGGTTTTCAGTCAGCACACTGGTTTTCTGATGGCGACAGCACTGCACACTGGCTGTTCCTCAGCCTTCTTCACCCACTGTTTCTCATGTTGTCTGTGCAACAACTTTTCATTAATTTATTTTTCGTTTTGCTTTTTTTTCCCCACACTTCATGTGGTTTTTGGTTCATGGAGGATTTTACACACAGTCCAGTGGGACAGTTCATGGCTGCAGGGAGACCTGTAGGTACTCACAGCTCTGGTTCCTCACTGTATGTCCTCAATGGTCTTCAGGCTATGTGTCTAAAATTAGAGGATTGTCTCCATCAATCCCTAATCTCCTCTAAATCCGGGTAAGTGTTTGTCTCAGGATATCAGGAGAGTGATAAAGCCACAGCAGGAGAGCTTGGCAACACTTGGTGGTGGAAGAGCTCTGGGAAGTATGGGAGGTACAGGCAGGAGCTGCAGCCTGGAGTTGTCATCTTATACTGAAATGTTCCAAGGTGCAAAGTCTGCAGGGCCATATCTATTTTTTGTTACTGAATCTCAGTCTGCTCCAGCCCCCGTGCAGCAATAACCTGCCCCAGAGGACTGCCTCTTTTGCCTGTGCTGTGAGCTGGCCCGGGCTGCACCACCTGGCCCTGGCTGTTTCCTCTCCCCTCTGCTCTGGCTGCTGAAACCCTGGCAACAGCTTGATGGACTGATGGGAGCCTGACAGAGGGGATGTGAATAGCTAGCTGTTGATTGACAGCCCCTCCACAGACTAGTCTGTCAGATTAATTATCTGTACTTCAGAAATCCCTGGAGATCCCATCACCATTTCACAGGGTGCCGTAGAAACATACTGTGAAGATCTAGCCCCCTTCCCCCGACATGGCAATCTGTCTCTAAGTAGGTGGAAACAGCTTATGGACAGGAGTGGGGAAAGAAAAAGACTTACAAGGTCTGGAAAATACTCAAATGCCTCAAAGGGATGTTTCCCTTTGGCTAATGGCATCAGTGTTCCCTTGTTGTCCTCTGAAAGTCGTGGTCATCAGAAGTCAACCCCCCAGCCTGACTCTTGTCCCCTATCTGGGTGGGTGCACTCCAGCCACAAAGTAGCAGAGAGCACCATGTTGGATGAAGATACAGAAATTTTGATTCCAGTGCTTGAACCTGCAGATGTCCACTATGTTGATATAAAAATAAGGCTAAGATTTATTATCATTATTATTATTATTATTACTATTATTATTACTATTATTATTATTATTATTTCCCAAGCAGCTGTCAAAGCAAATTTGAGAGAAGGGACTTTTAAGTAGTGCTTACATGAGGAATTACTCATGGAAAATTCCTCCTCTGAACTTTTCCAATTTCATTAACAAAGGAATGTTTATAAAGCAAAGCCCTGTGCTAGACACTGACATTTCTGAGTTTGAAATTATTCTTGTAGCAGTTGAAATTGAGTTCATGTATCAGTTTGAGAGCAGGTAGTACATCCTGGTGGAACAAGGACCTGCTTGTGGCAATAAAGAGAGAAAAATGTTCCTTACATGGTGATGGGGCAAGCACTGAGAATATGAATGAAGGCGTCTGAGAGAGTATGGTGAAAGAGCTCCTTGATCTGACTATTTTCTAAACTCATCATTACTTGTCAAGAACAAATAATTAATTTTGTCTTGAGAAAATACTGGTAATCTCTAAAAGAGAGGTGAATCATCAAATCACAGAATCACAGAATGGTTTGCGTTGGAAGGGATCTTT